GTAATTAAGACCCACTTTCGTAAGGGACATCATCAGGAGAAGAAAAGAAACGAAATAAAAAAAATTAAAATAAAAACACAACACGGCTCCAGTCGGAAATCACTCGCAAAATTGTGACTGGCCCGTAACTCTTAACTGCTAGAATTCACTATTAAAAAACTACTCCCAGGGACCATTTGAAAATTCACCAAAGAAGTAGCTGTAAGGAGGGTTGTATCCAGCCTAATTTTGTATCAAAATCGTCTTATATGAGGTAATCTTAAAAAAACATCGTAAATTATATTTGAGTGAAGTAAGAAAAAACTTTGAACATTTGAAGCCGTTTTGATATTCATGTATTTTACTCGGAAATCTACTACAATTGGATTGGTTAGATAATAGAATAAGTCAGTTTAAGTTGGTTCATTTAAATTTTACTAAAAAGAACTTCCAATTTAGTGGGTTCATTTATGAATATATTTGAGGTCTATTTTGTAAATTTATATAAATGAGTAGTACTATACAGAGGTACTTTATGGCCGCAAATGTATACAATAAAGAGACCTTTATCAATCAGTCGGACATAATAGTTATTTTCGTAACAATAATTTTTGTAATGCGAGATTTTTAACTGTAACGCTTGACAGTTTCTCGTTTAAGGAATCTTACGGTAAGCAGAAGACTAATATGTGTATAAATTAAGAAATAATGCAGAAATTTTACTGATTATTGACGTAAACGAAGCGCCGATTACTATTCTGAATTAGCTATGTAATTAGCTTATTCTGAAACCAGAAAATTTGCTTGGAATTGGACTCGCTACACCGTTTGACTAGTACCGAATTTCTTTCTTTTATTATTATAACGCACGATTGATCAGGAAGGGTTGCGTTTGTATTTATTTATAAAAAATCGAGCAGGTACAGCTGACGTCTTGCACGAATTCATCTTACCTCCTTCGCGCATCCTAAGTAGCTTTTTTTATCATCGTCGCGCTTTTTTGCGGTAAATTTGTAAAAGTAGTTGGATACGTTTGTCACGTAAACAAAAAGTTAAAAGTTATGTAAAGAGTCAATTGGTGAAGCTCGTAAAGGGATAAGTTTGAATATCAATTTTAAAGATAATCGCAAGTTTGGCGGAGAAAATTGATAAGAAGTTGCAAGTTCATTGGACTAGCGAAATTGTGTTCGTGCTATCAGCAGTTGAACGCTTCATAACGTTCTCTTTTCTGGCGTTCTTGTTGACAGATAAGATATCCCCGCCTCTACACAGCTTCTATAAGTTTTTGGGTTGGATCTTGCCAAAATCCCTTAGAAAATTATCAGTTCGCGCTTCGGGGATGAAACAAAATATTTGCATTTCTCGCCGACATATAAGTAACGCGAAAGCAAAAAGTCTTTGTGCGGAATGGATGAAAACAATCGGTAAAAAACATATCGAGATTTTCAATCATTTTTCCATTTGGGAATATGAAAACTCGAAACTAACTGCGTGCCATTTCATATTCCAAGGAATAAGGGATAAAGCTCCTACGGTCGACTTTATGTTTTTAAAACAAGTTACATCATTGTCTATTACCATAAAACTAATACCTCGTGGAATAAATGCAAAAGAAGGTTTGGTCGTTTTATTCTCAAATGAGTAAATATGGAAAGCTACCGCCGGTAACCCGCACAAACGCCAAACATTTACATTCTTACAAGGTTTGTTACAAATATATCGTAATTTATTCAGAAAGTTTGACCCCTTTTCTTATTTCGCCCGTATCTTATAAAAAGAGAGCGCAGTTACTTACAAATTGATTTTCTGCACTAACAAAAGATGTATAAGAGTCTTTAGGGGTTCTCTTGTATTGTACATCGCAAAAGTGCGCTACAACGTGAAATTAAATATTAAAATACATAGTAATTTGGTTAAGAAAGTAAAGGAAGTAAATATATAAAATAGGGATCAGTGATAAAAGTAGAACAAGAGTTATGTGATATGCATAATCTGAATGTCAAAGAAGCAAAAAAAGTAGTGGCAAAAGAAAACCAGTTCAGTAAGCAATGTAAGAAGTAAGAAAATTGGAGATTGAGAACGATACTGAATCAAACAGACAGGACTTGTTGTTCATCGAAATACTGAACTTTAAGATTTTTTGCTTAGGATATAAAATGTAAGGAAAATTGCAGTAATTCTTAGGTACACTTTAAAGTGTTGGTGGTTTGTTATGACAATTCGAGAAAAACTATTAAACCCTTTTATTAATTGCTAATTTTACGCTGAAGAAAGCCTGACATTTAGAAAAAAAACATCGTTTTTTGTTTAGAATGTATTCGCATTGGTTTAATTTGGACAGACCTTGATAGTTTTTGTCGTTCTCTGATCTGATGGTGTCATTTTGCATGTATAGTACTTATTTTTTCGTTTATTTTGCCTTAAATTTGAACTAGGTTGTTCCAGCGAATGTGAACAAATTAGTGGATTATTGCACCTTGTCCTACCTTTTCTAAAAAACTACTTAATAATTTTGAATGCCTTCTCTTTTTCCCGCCTTCATTAACACATACACTTCCTTACAACGGTCTTCCAAATACCTTTTATTGCTTGCCTGTTGTGTATCCGTATTTATTTTATTTCTTATTGCTTTGTACTTTCCTTTTCCTTCGACTGTATGGTATTGTTTCAACTCCTTCTCTATTTTCTCAATAATCTCCTCTGTTATCCACGTTATTCTAGTATGTGCTTTATGTCGACTTATTTCTGTTTCTGCGGTTTTTATCATATTAGCATTCAAGTTCAACCATCTTTCCTCTATATCTTCTATTCTTGTGATTACCGATATGTTTGACTTTTCGCTATAGGCCTCTCTTACTTCTTCCGATTTTAATCTCTACCATTTGTGACTAGCTGTCCTTTACAGTCTTTTGGTTTTGAGGTCACATCTAGCACTAAATTATGACCCACATCTGGCTCTGTAAAATCTGTGCAGTCTTTTTTTTAAGTGTTCTAAATTCTTGACTAGAATATAATCGTTCTGGTACCTTCGTCTTACGTCTATCACCTGGAGCTTTCCATGATGCCCCGCATGATTAAACCATGTGTTGCATACCACTAATTGGCGCTGTATGCATATTTCTACCATCTCCTCTATCATTCCTTTCGCCAAGGCCAGACGCCCCACTAGCATGTCCTCTTTCCCTTCTATCACTACCGCATACACATAAGCGGTAACTCTTTGTCCCATATCTTTACTTATCCTACCTGTACCGGGTCTTCCTTCAATGTAGCCCGTGTGAATCACACAATAATTCCAGAAGTCACTTATTCCTAGCAAATCAATTTTCATTCGTTTCCAAAATTAGATTTTCTAGCTTTCTACATTGCAATAAGGTTCGCACATTGCAAGTAGCTATTCTCCTCCTGCTATTATTCTTTTTCGTACCTAAAGCGCAATATCCTGCAGCCCTCACCCGGAGATCCGTTTGGGAGACCTTTACCCCGGAACATTTGACAAGAACACACTTCATATGAGACATTGTGAAAAACTGCTTACTCTTTGGAAATCTTAGGATCTTTAATGTGTAATCCCTTTCACCAAGACAACAACCAAAACTTGAGAAATCCCCTTACTAAGGCCATGACCTTGTGACGTCACAAAAAGTAGTGGTGATAGTATCAATGTTCTACTAGTAAGAACTTTGAGGAAACTGCACCGGTTGCTTGGTAGGTGGGTTGGGTTGTGAAAGAAGATGGCAGGACGAGTTGGCTTTATTTTTGATTTTACAAACTAAAAGTTTTAACACATTAGGGTAACTACTGACTTGAAAGAATCATACCTAAACCAGGCGCTGGCGTGGAATAATTAAAAATTATTTTGACCAAAACCACAAGGTTTTAGAGTAAAATTTTGCTCTTAATTGTGGCTACGTTGCAATATAAAATATCAAATTCCCTTTCCTCTAGGTGACATTTCCAGCGCCTGCTTTAATTACGGCAAAACAAGTTTGTACATTCGGGCAATACCCTCGTATTTTTAAACTTTACATTTTGAATTAGATTAAATGAAGTTTCTGCTACAAAACTAAAAAATGCTTAAAAAATAAAACCAACGAATATAGTAACAATATTATGGCGTGTAATTTGTGCGTCGGTATAATTAAAAATCTGACGATTTTCTCGTTGTCGTCAATATTTTATTTGAATTTTGACGACTACAATACTCCCCAATATCTGTACATTCAACATTTGCAGTCGGAAGGTGTTGGAGTTGGAGTTTATTAAACTTAATTAATCTGGAATGTATCAGACTGACAGAGGGTTTCTAAACAATCAAATATTTGTCATCACATTAACAAATTAGTTATTAGTTATCTTGGATATCTGCATAATATGCAGTGATCAGCGAGCCCCTACGTTACATCAAATAGAAATGTAAATGTTAATTAATGCAGAAATATCACTTTATATCATCTGTAAGTTACGCAATATCTACTACCATCAAATATAAAATGACAATTCCCTTAAAATAGTATTAATGCCTAAGTAACGCACAAGCACATTAATTTAACTTAAAAAGGCACCGTGCACTGATCTGTACAATTGCGATTTGCGCTAAGAAATTTGTAGGTTATTTCACTGGCTAGTAATCCTCTAAAACGCGTTTTACATTCTGAACGTTTTTGTGAAAGTTAAAATTCTCTGACCCGAGGGCATGCGCAATAGGTGCTTTTCTTGAAAGTGAAATAGCTTTTGTGCCATTAGATGATCATTATTTTGTATTGACAGGCGTAAAGGCAGATTATTGAGAGACCAGATATGAAAAGCGTCGATGTAGCCTGCATTTTTTTAGGTTGGTATTAGCAAAATTTCACTTGAAAGTGAAATAAAATTGCAGAATGTAAAGGGCATCTGCCACTTCAAAAATGTCCGGGAAGTTATTTCACTTTCGGCTTTCAAGAATTAACTTTCAACATGTAAAACGTGCTTTACAAGTTTTAATTGTTTATATTGTGGATATATTTTAAATAATAACTCACCGGTTGATTGTGGATAAACCATGTAACGATGGCAGCGGGATCGGATGGAGAAGACGTACAATTTGCGGATAAAATATCCCCTTCATTATACGTTTCTTCCAATCCCAGTATTCGTGGTTTTTCCTTTGGTAAAGCTGCAAGGGAAGCCGAAATTACCGCCAAAGAAGGGGAGAGAGAGAAAAAGAGAGTTCGTCGTTTTATATATATAGAAAACGTATCTGAGGATTTACTAAATAACTTACTTGCTACCGTAATATTGTGGGTTTCAGCAGCGAGACGGAATGTAGGTGCTTCACTGGACACTTCGCAACGATAAGCTCCATCGCTGTGATGCCTCGTGAGTTTGGTTAGTTGAACCTTACAATGTATTCGATCGCAATCAGTGTTTTGAGGGGCCAAATGAACGCCGGATACAGGAAACGTCATTATGTGGGGTTGCTGATGCGGCATGTACCTGTCGATAACAAAATTACATTAGCCCCGTTTGTTAATTATTAACAATTACTGTAGATCGTAAACTTGGCGAGAACATATAAAACTCTTGCTCGTGAAGGGAATTAATTTTGGAAGTAATTACTTCTACACTTTCATTATACGTTTCTAAAGCTTTGGCTCTTGTAGAACCGGTTCAAACGTAAATTTCTCTACGAATTTTGTTTGTGAAAAGAAATGGTCTCTTTGAGGAACCAAATTTAAAGCTCCCTCTTAGATTTGCATGTACGAAATGAAGTAGCTTTTTGATACTCAAATTGTGGAAAACCATATTTTTGTATCTGCAAGTTTTATCATAAATTTATACGTCAAATATGAAAACGTAGAAATTATTTGAGCTCATGTAATATTAATGAACGAAGTTTGAGATTTATCACCCTCCGCGTATGCTGCGATGTTTCTATTACTTGAATATATATTTTTGGCGAAAATGGATTTCGTCCAAAGAATGGCAATTAGAAGATGTCGGATAAATTTCCAAGCACGTCCGACGTGCAGTAAAGCATCGCAAATGGACATGGGCGAAAAGCGCCACTCGAAATTGAAGGTGTAATACGCTTTAGCGTGTTTTCCGGTTATTGGTAATGTATTTTTACTTGAGTTACAAATACATGATGTAAGTGAACTTAATGGGTTTGAAACCCTTTGTTCCAATGTAAACTGCTGTACTGTTGTAAGTGTACACTAATTTCAGAGGTAGGTGCTTTTTTGTCAAGTCAAGGTCAAGTCAATTGTCAATAGAATCGATAGTTGAAGTTTTCCCTTCGAATTGTTCACTAATTCGAACCCCTATCCTCGATTCGAAGTTTGTTAAAGCCCTGGAAAGCAATCCACAGCTGCAGGATGCTGCCCAAAGCTTTCAAAATTTTACTGGACTACAAAGAATATTCTCCCCGAAAGATTCACCCCTGAAAATTCGCCATCGGAATGTTCGCCCAGAAGATTCATCTCCGAACATTCTGTTCATGTGGAATTCACACCGCCGGAATACATACTCCTTTGCCGGGAACTCGCTCCAAAAGGGAATCATGATCGACTTTAACAGATGATTCCTTAGAAACTCGTCTCTGAACTAACTGCTATGCAAAACCTGTTTGAAATGGTAGGTTTCTCCATAAAGGTCTCGCTAGATTTAAGTTTACGGGGGTTACAGTTACTTTATGCGCTATATTGTCATTTGGGTTCAATAATGAAACCATCGATAGTATGAAGATTCGTCCCTCTGGTCAATTCTCCCTCGGGAGATTCGCCTATGAAATATTACACCTCCAGAGTGTTCGCCCCTGGAAGATTCCTTCCGGGAAGTGTTAAACACAAACAATTTTTAAGGGCATTACAATTTTTTTAATTCTTAAAAAATACGCTAACCAAACTTGATTTCCGCCCTTGGTCCAAACATGGGTATGGGTTGGTTAGGTGGTTTTGAAATGCAGCCCCTACGGAAATTGGCGTGGCATCCACGGTAGTGACGTTACTTTTCGGAGTGGTAAGACGATTTGGTTAAGTTCCCACCTAAGAACATACTTCCGGCGAATTTTCCGAGGAAAAATCTTCTGGGACCAAAAACCCCAGACCCAGAGACGAGTTTTCTTAGAGCGCAGTGAAGCTTCCGTGTGCGAATCTTTAGCGGACGGATTTTCCGAGAACGAATCTTTTGGGGGCGAATATTCCGGGAACGAATTTACCGAGGCGCGTTTTCCGGAGCCTTCACACCTCCTTTACGCCTTCTTCAGTCTTCATTTATATCTCCTTCAGGTCTGATATCACGCTTCGATTGCGACTTTTCTCTGACCTGCTTTCTGAATGCGTCTTTCAATAATTCCTTTTCTTCACAGGCATTCACGTACCTTTTCTTCGCATTCAACCACTTTACAATCTCTTCACAGCTTCATCGCCTCTTTCAGGTTTCCTTCAGTGTTCATTCACTCCAAGATTACATCACACCTCCTTTCCCATACGTCTCGCATTCTAATTTGTTTGAGGGTCAATCTAGTTTTCAATTATCTTTTATTTAGTTCGTGGTGAATTCTTATTGGTGCATCCTTAAGGCGAGTTGGAATGCGCATTTTAGTTTTATCATTTCACTTCCTTTGTCATTACGAATACGTTAGCAGACGGATACGTGTTTAAATGCAAAATCTTTAAGTATTATTTTTGGCAATGAACCGGATTTTGTGTAATACTCGAGTTATGTTGGATCGCGTTTAAACACTTTGCTCTCATCGTGGAGGATTCAAAATGAATTTGGTGCATCTGTAAGTACGACCATTTTCTTTAACCACGTGTTACCTTCGTACGCTCTAAAATTTTGCCATTCGAAGTTTGAACCAATTAAATTCGTACTAGTATTGTTTTCTAAATAACCCTCTTCGTAACCGGAGGTATGTTACATTTGGTGTTTCTGAAGAAATTTAGTATGTGATTTCTTTCAGGATTGCAGCTTCAATTTTAGTTCACTTCTAATTCCAAGTTATAATTTCATGTCCACGTTTACGTACGGGTTTGAGTTATCAGTTAGTTGATTATGTTTTCCCTCTCGTGCGGGTGGTAATATTAATGTGCGACGAGGATTGGCCGTAACCTCGTCTGGATGAATTAGCTACAATTCAATCGATTATTTACAACGGGATACAGGTAGGTATATCTACGGGAATATAATTCCGAACAGCTTTCCCTTAAACTTGACTTTCAGGTTTTGATCGGTAGGTAATCTGATACGCCTCTCCTCTCACGTATTTCCTACACCCTTATTAGACCACATTCGTGAAGCATACCTACTTTTTGCATCCTTCACTTTCTCCGCATGGTTCCTTTACGCCTTTTCCGGTATTCCACACCTTGTAACCACCACCACGCATCTTTAGAATTGATTTTGGACATATAGAACATAGAATTTAGAAACCGTGTTAGATGGAATGAAAGATAACTTGTGGTAAGGCATGTATTTTCGAGAACCCTTAAGATTCGACTCTGAAATACCTACTTCGTGCGCTTTACTCGACTTTACCATTTCGTGTAGTTAATTTGCTTATAAATTCATTGTCTCTTTTGGAACTCCCGTCGTAATTAGTGTAATTCGCATTACTTGCATACAACAACGTACAAAGTAGAGTGGATGCAGTGATGAAATCTTGTGAAGTGCTTTATACAGTCTAATTTAAAATGGAATTAACACCAGGTTGAATTGCTGATAACGTACGTTAAACTAAAACCTAGTGAAATATTTTTAAAAGTAGCATATTTAATTCTTGTCGTTTCACAAATTGTCAAAGGCAGGTGCATGTCAAATATTCACGTTAGCTTAGATTGTTACAAATCAGGGAGTTTACCAAAATTCAGTCGAACACCGCGCCTTCCATACATTCTTGACATTTCACCACTACAGGCAGAGAACAATGCATAACTTGCCAGGACAAGTAATAAAGACAATCTCGAATTTGTATAATTGGGAACAATTTACCAAAACAGAATTCTGGCGTATTGCGAGTCGAGGTGAAGCAAATTTGAATTGCAAATGAGAAAATAAAAATGGAAAGGAAATGTTTACACAACAAATTATAATGTAGCGGTTGATGCACGTTTCTTTTCGGTAGATTAATCGATACATTGCAAGGAAATGCCAAGTTATGGATAGAAGCGAGCTTTTTAGACGGCGAATGAATTGCCCGAGCATGAAAGTATCAATTTATGATCCATTCAGCTTCAACTTCTAATCGGCGGAAGGAATTAACATATAAAACTCTTTTTTCGTCGGTCTTTGTGTCTTTTTTTAAATGTTTCTATAAATGTCCAGTCTTGTTAAGTGAACGGGATAGTCTGTCTGAAATTGCTTCAGAATGCATTGGCCGTAAAGAAATGTGTTTGATACTTGCGACAAAAAATTCATTTTCTCCCTGTCTAAATCGACAGGATTTATAATAATGCAGAATTTTGGTTGATAATAGCACACTGGGCGAGATCTTGTGCGACAACAGCTATACTGAACGTACTAGAAAACGAAAACAAGGAATGCATTTGACCGAGACCTACGAATAACAACTTAAAAATATCGTTTATAATAATAATAATCATATTTATTCCAAAAAAAAAATTTTTTTTTAGAACCTCATGGCATAGATTCAGCAAAACGCTGCTCTTCCATCTACACCATGACAAAATAGAGAATATTTGTACAGAGCAAAACAGCAAAAGAAAACAAAATTATTTTAGAATAACTACTTACTAAGTATAGTGAAATGATGAATGAACAGATTGAAAGATAAAAGACAATACGAGCAGGAATAATCAACAGTAACACGAAATCAAATTAAAGAGTGAAATAAAAGGTTAAACAATTGTTTTTTGAACTGACGAGTTGGTAAACTCTTAAGAGGCGACGGCAATGCATTGTACATCACAGCAATGGTGTAGCTAAATGACCGCTCAAATAGTGCTGTTTTATGTTGAGGGTTAGTAGCCCTCTATGCCTAAGGTTTAAATTGTGAATGTCAGTCCTAAATCTGATCTTATTGTATAAGTATGGTGGCCGCTTATCGGAAATGATTTTATGAAATAAAACAGCATTATGGAGATGCCGTCTACTCGTCATTGATAGCCAATTTGCGTCCTTTAACTTATGAGTAATGTGGTCATATTTAGAGATTCCGTATACAAAGCGGAGACAAGAATTCTGAACACGTTGAATACTATGCGTTGTATCATGGGTAATACAGGATGAGTAAACCGGGGAACAGTGAGCAAAATGTGATAACACCAGAGAGTTGCATAACATTAACGTTTGAGCAAGGTATTCTAGATCTTTAAATATTTCTTCGCATTGGTGCCAAAGATGACAGTCGAAACTAGTCGCTATTTAAATTCTCAAATTAAATTAACGTATAGGGAAGGTTGTGTGTTTTACTCAATAACGATTCTTCAATTCACGTCGACTCCATTTTGAGTTTTTTGCCGCAGCATGGATACCTCCGTTTCATACGCAATAAAAACCACTAGCTTGAAAATTGCAAGGTCTATAATTTTTGAGTTGCGTAAGATTGATTAACGACTTTAAAATCATTTAGGATTGGTAGTAGCAAAAGACCTTAACTAATAAGCAATTAAACCTGGCGATCAATCGGCCATTGTGTAGGTGAAAACTGATAAATTCAAATAGGAGTTACTCAGAAAGTTATTAGCTTTGGTCTTGATCTGAGCCGGAAAACTGCACATTCCGAGCCCTGCAAGCTGTTCGAAATAATAGAATTGGCGAGGAAACCATTAGCGCAACAGTCTTCACGAGGCCCATAAAAGAGAACTTAAAAGAAACTTAAATTTCGCGGTTAAACCACAGTGCAATCTGTCATTATCACCATGCCCGAATTGCGGCAAGTTCCATTATTTACGTGTGAATATTTACGTGTATCGTACATAATATAAGAGACGAATACTGCTTAAAGAATTCAAGAGAAAATGGTTAATTTTGAATGGCAATTTCGCAATTTGTATATCACTAGAATAGCCTCTTCGATTGAGAAGGTTGATTATTCCAAGCAAATAATAGATACCTACTTAAATATTTTATAGCATCAGCACCGTGGTAGGACTGGATAAATTCCAATTTCTATTGAATTTTTTATGATATTAGAGGAAAATTTGATGTTACCATTATTTAAAATGTGATGATAATAAGCAATAATATAATACTTCAGAGAATCACTAGTGTTTCAATTCGAAAGACAATAATTAATGGTGGCGCAAGTGCGTGGGAAAGGTGTGAGTGTCCTTCCGAACATTAAGCCCCTTTCGCACGTGTTACGTGCTTTATTCTTTATACGATCGTATTTTATTAGATATAAATTGTTGCAGAAAATCAATTCCGTAGGTGACCATTTCATTACTTCCGAGCTTTTAGTGGTTAGCACCAGAGCAAATAGAGAGATATACGCGGCCATAAACCGAGAAACGATACATTATCGAAGGAAAAGTGATTTGGTGTTGTGCAAATATGCATGGGCTAAATTGCTTCGCAATAAATCACCAATAAATCTATTCGCAATGGGATTCTCTTTAGGTACAAACACGCAAAATTCTGCCCTAATTACGGCGAATGTTGTGCATGCATGCGTACGAAAGGAATGATGGGAGTATTTCTCAAATGTAAGTAATACGATAGAGGGATTTGCAACCTAAATTACTAAGGATGTGATTCATCTTGCCCTTAATGTCGTGAATAATGAGGTAGCATAATTTGGAACTGATGTACGAAGTTTAGCGTTGCTGCTTACATTTTCCGCAATTGTTTCATTCGCCGAATTGAAATCGATCGTTTATTAATCAGGAAAGGAAGGTACGAGTATATCCATACAGTATGCTTAGATAATCATTGTACATTAACTTGGTTTACATAAAGATAATGGAGCGCTGTGTTTACTAAACCCCAAAACACTAACACGTTAGCTCGATTTTGTGTAATTGATCTGATTTGGGATTTGCATTTTTATCCTTTATGTATAAGGTCCTTAAACTTGGATCAGTGGATTTTTTCTTTTCTGATATTTCAGTTTCTTCATGGTCGTCGACATCCCACGAGGTTATCTGGTCGAAGAAACGTCCAATTGCTTTTGAGTCATTTCCGAAATTAAGTCAGTCTCATTTGCTTTCCGGACGCTTATGTCCAATTGCATAAAAAATTGACTTGTGCTAAAAATATGGAAATTAAAAGAGACGTTTGGATATCAAAGGTATTGATATTGGGTAAAGCAAGCGTCTATCCACATATACAGTGTGTGCAAATAACTAACCACTATGCACATTAATTTACAGATTTATTCTGTCATACATCCAAGCATGAACCTTGTCTGACACTGCCAAACAAATTCGAATTCGTTCCGTCCTGGTAAGAACGCCTGCGAAGGTAAGTAATGGGTTCAAGCACTTGCACTTGCAACTGGATACCACAAGAAGTATTTTGGATATTTAACTCAGTAGCGTAACACCTGAATGGATTAAATACACGACATTTTGGTACACCTTGTAAAGAGAGCATTTAGGTTTGGACATAAATTTTTGAAATTTTCGCGCAGAAATAAGTAAATTAGAATTTGCTTTCTATAAAAAATGCCCAGGGGATAAAGCCGCTATGGAAACTGTTGATAGAATTGATTAACAACATTTAAACAATTTGTGATTGGTAGTAAGAGAGACACTGACCAATAAAAAAATTAGACATTCTGCTATTTTGGGCGTCCAAATTTTATTCAGTAATTAAGAGGGGGATTGGTTTTCGAAAAATTGGAGGAATTCGGATTTTGGCATTCTTCATTCTTGGTATTAAAAGCGACCGACCATTTGGTTCGCATTTTTATCCTTGGGGTCGCTATTCAAAGTGAATCCATTTTGACGGAGAATCGTAGTTTCCAACAATTATGGAAGTTTCAAAGCTCGTGGAGAAAGTTAGTGTATTATTTGGTGAAATTATACAAAATTATTACGTTTGGATGTTGAAGTAAGAGTTTCACAATTCGTTAAATTCGTGTACTAGTTGCGAGATTTTTGTACGCGGACGTATTAAATTAAATCAAAGAAAAATCCGAGTGCAAGTGGTGCGAGTGAATAAAAAATCAAAACTTAATCCAACGGGCGTATCCTGTACGAGTAAAACAATGCGCGGAAGAAAACACTTATTTAATTTCAAACGAAGAATACGCCTATTTATTATCTCAGTGCGTTCAATTAAGAGAAACAATTTCAAACTCAGCATATTTCGTGAAGGCACATTTTTGCGTTAATTAAAATCCGAAAATCATAGTCCCCCTGGCCAAAAACCAGGAACATTTTGTTATAAACAAAAAATGGCAACGCGTTACATACTAGGTATACTTTTTCTACGACAATTCAACTCATGTATAAAAAATCGCATAAGCCGCAGTGAAATTGTCACTTTGACAGCGGCAAAAGTTACCTGCAACTTTTCCAGCGACAAATGCACTAGTGGTTTTTTCACTTAGTCATTTTCGAACCAATTATCACATTATCCTTTCCCATATGACTAGTTTGACGTCTGTCAATAATTGATTAGTTGGTGAATTTCTTGTTCGTTAAATTGTCCTGCCGAATTACACTCGAGGTTTGTATTTAAACCGAGTAAATTTGGGTTGTGGCAATTCAAATTTGTTTCCTTTTAGCAATTGGACTCGAAAAACTGTCAACCTAAAAATGCTCCACCTGCGGTGTCGCATTTTTATTAGTTGACAGTTTTTCTCGTCTAATTGCTAGGCAACGGATTTTCATTACCTAAACAACCCAAATTTACCCGGTAAAATACAAACCTCTTGTGCAATTATAAGTGAAAATTGTGGAAAAGGATCCTAGCCAAGCCGTGTTTAATAAATGCGTGTTTCTCGAATCGACACCAATCTGTATCGAGTAGTCGTATTTAAAACGAATCTTCGCACACTACATTTTAAAGATGTAAGTAGAAAAATAGATATTATTATTGCGCATACCTAGACTCACATTCGTTATTTGTGAACCAATCCTTCTAAAATTTTATAGCGTAGGACCAAAGGTAGGACTCTTATAAACAAAAATTGCATCCTCCAAATGGGAAATGAATGCAAGTGGAAATGCGCTTTCCGAAAATCGTTTACGATTACTTTTTTAACTTGTTTCAATTACTGGGGTATAATAGTGGTTGATCCAAAAACAATGTCAGGTGTCTACCTAGAATAGGTACAACATGATTGTAGAAGAAGCAAAGGAAAGTAATCCCTTAAGCTCGCTGAATTATTGAAAAGATCCCCAAAAACGAATATTTCCAACTCAATAATAAAGCATTTCTTAATAAATAAAATGTCGAGTAATTAATTAAAAATTCATCAGTTGAAACTTTTTTAAAACCTATTAAAATTTTGTTATGCCTTTCATTTTCATTCTTACATAACAGTGAAACTTAAATAGGGCGAGAAACTGGGGAGTTTATTACTAAATAAGATTTTATCGGAACATGAATATTATATAATCGAAAATGGCGTTACCTGAAAAACTCTTGATCGTCCTTATACCATTTAACGGCGTACAGCTCTTCCGATTCCATATCAAATCGACAGTTTAATTCCATGTCTTGTTTGGTATCGGCAACGACGGGAGCGGACATGTTGGTTAATCTCAGTGAACTGGCTGAAATAGATTAATTGCAGTTAGTTTCTCTCGACAGAATTGCAGAAAAAGCGACGTATTGTGGTTTGTATTAATTAACTAAGTTAGATTATCTTTGACACGGAAAATTTAACTTCCCTTGCGTATTTTCGCGAAACCGTATAACGTTAAATTAATTTCTTTTTCTTTCGGCATTGTCTCCAATTTATCTCCGTGGAAATTTATTAAATGCGCTCAATATAGCTGATTAATTGCACGTGTCGTAATAAAACGCGGACTACTGCGCAAGCAAACGTTGTTTTGGGGAAAACTTTATCACTTAACGGTGTGTTACTTTCGGCACGTGATGAAAAATAAACGACAATTAGTGTCATAATCGCCAACATTTCGAAATTCCCCAAACGAATATCCGAACAAAAAAGCTTCGGAGTGTCAAAGCTCGCTCCGGGAAATAAGCGTTGCACCCGATAGCTCCTCCATTTCGATAGTAGGTACGTAATAAATGGTGCACGCTGTCTGTCACGCGACAGATAATAATTTTATAGTTAAATTGGAAGGCGAGAAAGTTTGAATTGAAGCTTTTACGGCGATATGAGTTGCGCAATTGAATAAAGCACGTTTAGGAAGTCTGTACTGCACAATACGCCCTCGCGGCGCTATTATGTGTACGAGTTCTGCGAAAAACAGCATTAAATGGTCATATACCAGTTAATGATGTAACGAAGCATCCGGAATTTCTCCATTTAGTGTGCCGTTTACAAAGACCACCCTGTATGTAACGTTTGGTTTGGGCTTCGTTACGCAAGAAGACCGCGATATTTTTGTAACCACCGAAGGATGTTGTCCTGGCGAAGATGAGGGGCAATTAATATTCTTTGATTTCAGCGCCGTTAATTATTTATAAGATGTTTTAGATTCCCATAATAAGTAAAATCAAGGATAGAACGAGTTCAAATTGAGTTGTTTACAAGTTTTGCAGTCCCGTCCGTATGCCTCCAGATGCGATAAGAGTGTTAAAGCGATAGCGCCGTTAGAGAAGAAAAAGTCCAAGGGAGCTAGTTACAGATTGGATTGATCAGTACTTAGGTTTGATTACGCTTAATTAGGTAAGCGCTGTTAATTAATGCCATGTTGATGGGCAGTAGTGGGCCTTGTCAGAAACCGTCGAGAGAGGTGTCCACAGAGGCGCTCTAATTTTTCTAGTTGTTTGCAAGTTGTCCCAGATTTTTAAGATAACCACAGGAGCCGCAATTAATTAAAAACCGAATTATTTTCTACACCGCTCGGTACGAGCACCGCCCGGCTTTGGAAATTCCATGTTCCACTTCTACCAAAATAGGTTTCCTTTAAATGGAAAATGCTCATTTTGGGAGGGATCTTTCTGCTTCATACTTTCGAGTTGTAAGTACGCCTTTTGATTTTTCTAATTTGCGAAACCGTATCCTTCCGAATCCACCGCAAGCCTTTTGTTTTACCGTTTTACCGTTTGAGCGACCGTAAGTCAATCCGTTGTCCTGTCCGTTTAACTACCGTTTTGAGTTTACCTTTTTGCACTACCGTAACTTTTGCCACCGTTCCGCTAAACTTCATTATATTCTGTTCTCCTTGCTTTTCCGCTTTTCTTTCCCCTAGACACCGCTAATTGATTTATTGCTTTATTCCCTTTAGGAAATTTACCGTCCGGGCCGTTGGCCATAATTTGTTTTAGATTAACCGGAAGTGACCGCCGCCATTTTGTGGTGAACTCTTACCGATCCCTGGTAGATTCCGTTCTCCACTAGAGGATACCCGGAGGCTTTCCACCCCGTCCGACAAGACCGCCCCTTTCCCAAGACTTAGGGGGTGCAGATAAGTCTTGGTGGCGCCCGAGTGACCGACCGACCGTCTACGGTGTAATAATTGAATTGTACAATTATATTATTGTTCGACAATTAAATGAACTTGAAATAATTGTGCTTTCCCTCATTTAGAATACCGTTCGTGCACGAGCTAAGGGGGAAGTTCGTCGCAATGAATGTAAATGTTTTCAGAGTGCAACATGGAAAACTAGACAATTGCCAGCATTTCATAGAAATGTCTACATTTCTTGTTTGAGCGTGTAATGGTACTTACTACATATTTCGAACGTTGAATTTGGGATTGGGAGAATAATGGATACACAATTTGTCTTCCGCAATTTAGCAAATCAGAAGCGCAAAAATAAAACCCGAAAATTCTATGAATACATGGTGAAACATATACATATGTAAAAATACAAACCATGCGGTACATCATAGGGAGTCAAGATTAATTTTTTTTTAATGATGCAATGGTTACCTTGGATTTTATGAAGTTCTCGTACAACATGGAAAAGCATTTGCAAACAAATTTTTTAAAAGAAGAGTGTTATGTTTATTTTTAACCTCAAGTCTGTGACGCATCCTTTGAATAGGAATTTTGGAAAGATTTTGGACAATTAATTGTATAGATCCACTCGTTTGGATAAAATAACCACAGGCTGTTTCTAAATTGAATTTCTTTTCTACAGGCTTTCTTTACAGAAAATTTTGGCTAGCAATGCAGTAATAATAACCCTTTTTAATACTTAATCACCACTTGTATGGACAATGTGGGCAGAAAAGAAGAATGGAATCTGTCACAAACATGGCTGAACCTATTCGCAAATAACTGGAAAAAGAATGCGAACTGGTGGTGTCACCGAACGATCCGATTAAGCCGGCCACCCTCTCAACCAATTGCCGAAATATCCCCTAGACCTGCACCGCTACCCTTCGCCCTACCGACTTTTACCAGTTCTGCGCCCCCGCTATTATCTCTGCAGAACACCGCCAGATCTTGCTTGGTTTTTACCCGTCTAGGTCAGAGTAACAAATCGAAGAAAGCACGTAATTTAAGGAGGGTAGGTATAAAGGTGAGTTTACTGAGGAACTGTGATTACACGGGAAAAGGAGCCGGTCGACGTGATACAGGTAAACGTTCTTTGCTTTAAATAAAGTTCCGAAAGAGCCAGTAATTTGTCATTTTCCTGACATGTAAATAACTATTAACTGCAATGTAGAGAGTAAAAATTATTCACTTGTGGTTTATTCTTTTTGGGGGTCCATACATACGCTGGTGTTTGATAAATAAGTTCTCTTTGGCCTATTTAAAGCCGAAATGTTTAAATAATACTCAAAATACTAACATAGATACACGTACTGGTTAAACCCTAACCACGTAAATTTCCACGCCATCTGTTAGTCGCAGTAAAGTTCGAAGATAGTTATTACAAACTTCGGCATTCAAATCAATCCCTTTCACTTAAATTATAGTAAATAACCCAATCATCAGCTGTAAACAATATGAAAGAGAGTAAAGAATGGAAGTCGATACAGTGACTGATAAAACCTGAATGCAAATGACAGAAACTCGGAGAAAAAAAGCGAACCTCATTGCTATTTATCTCGTTAAGAATTTTATGGAAAGTTTCTTTTCTTCCATAATTTATGTATTTCCAAAGGGGTCGGGACTTGTAAATTTTTGATAACAACCATGAATTTAAATCCCTGTCGCTGCTTATTATTTCGAAATAAATAAAAAAAATGCATAACTCTCTAAATGTTTTCCTTTCCAAGGGAAGGAAAAAATAATAACATACCAAGTTTTTGAGATATATTTCCCTAGTTTACTTTTATAAGTCTTTATCAAAGCAGTTGATTTTAGGCCCTCCGTATCCATGTTTCTCTCTTATTTCATTTTTATTTTACGTATACTTAGATTTATAACATTTTTAACATAGTTTCGTAGATCTCTGAATATATTATAGTAACGACATCATTTTATGAGAACAACCGCCGTGCCGCGATATATAGAATGAAAATAATATCTCCAGTTACCTTCATAAAAAGAAACTTTAAATCTTTTTTATATGGACTTTATAAGCCTTCGTCAATCATCTGTATGTGCATTCATTCAAGTCATGAGTCTAACGTACTTTGCAGTTGATCTGTTGTTCTTCGACCTGCTGTGAAAAAAAACTTACTTTTTTTTTGTAGCCGCACTCAGAAATACATGACCCCACTGTTATTACTTCAGTCGTAAACTAGAGCACCTATCCAGATGGTAGGTTGGCCAATTTTAAGGGATTGTCATAAAATGCAAGAGTAAATATACAGAAATGTGTTGCATTTTCCGAGATGGCGCGCAATTGCTTCACAATTACAGTCCGAAACAATTTCGTGCCAATTACCTACGTTTCTAAAGACTAATTTGATGTAAGCTTCCATAAAACGTAAAAAGCGAGTGGTAAATAAATTACATTGAAGAACAACCCCAAATCTAATTATCTACGTGTCAAATTAGCCAAGCTTCCAATACATTTGCAGCCGACAATTAGGTATATGTCACGGTACACATCGAACCCTTTTTTTAATTATTTAATACACAAAAAAGGTTTTGTTGGGGAAACCTAATGTCAATAAAATTCGCATTGGAAGTTTACAGTTTTTGTCGTCAATCGAATTTTTCGTATTTAAAAACGCTTTCATTAAAATAAAATAAAAAATCCCATTTTTCTGCCATCTCAAATCCGCTTGAGTGATTAATGTAATGCAAAATGTAAAGGTTCTTTAGAATTTAATTTCGCCATACAGTCTCTTGTAGCAAATTGCTCGACATATAATCGCTAAAATAGCTTAGAAAAACGGCATTCAAATCGTTCGTATACCTCTACCGGTCCACGATAGGGGAAATGCTAATGATTTTGATTACTTTCATTAGTTCGCTCACTTAACAAAACTGCCTGAGATAAATGAATACGAAACGCAAGGCATTGAAAACAGAATTGAAATAAATATTCGGGTAAACGGTTCCCTTTAAATGTAGGTGCTTGAGATGGAAGCAAATGAGAGATTAGAATACAAAAGCCGAATTTCGTTAGCATGAAAGAAGGGGCTCTGATATTCTTAAAAATTAATACGGCTTAGGAGTATACTCGTAGTTGACAGTTATTCGGTGACGTGGGCCGCGTATAGGTCCCAAAG